AAGACGCAATTACAATTAGCATTCATCGACGCGCCTAAACTAATAATTTGTAATGGACTAATTAAATATCCTCCAAAGTATTTACGTCCTGTTATAATTGGCGAAATGCATTGTTCACCAACTGCAGGACACCGGGGCGTTACAAAAACATATAACAGAATAAAACATAATTATTATTGGGAAAACTTAAAATCCGATGTTCAAAAATATATACAGCAATGTTTGCAGTGCCAACTGAAAAAACTCGTTCGAGTTAAAACAAAACAGCCTATGATAATTACAGACACGCCTGGATTATTCTCTGATAAAGTAGCCATGGACATTGTAGGCCCATTGCCTAAAACAGAGAGAGGGAATGAATACATCTTAACATTACAAGATCAACTAAGTAAATTTTGCATGGGAATACCGTTACAAAATCAAACCTCTGAAACAATCGCAGAAGCTTTCGTGGACCGTTTTATTTGCGTGTTCGGATCACCAACAGCAATATTAACAGATCAGGGAAGAAACTTCATTAGCGAATTAATGAGAAAACTCGCTAAAATATTTAAAATTTGCAAATTTCGCACTACAGCTTTTCATCCTCAATCAAACAGATCATTAGAAAGATCACACCATGCATTAGGCGAATATTTGAAACAATATGCAAATGAACAAAAACAATGGGATAGATGGATCGGCCTTGCCATGTTTAATTATAATACGAGCGTACATGAAGCAACAAAGCACACCCCATATGAATTGATTTGGAAAGATAGCACGTGTTCCATCGAACGAGCTTTTACCTCCTGGGGATAAATAAGCAAATTATGATAAATATTTAATAAATCTTGTCACTCAACTTCACGCAATTCAGGGAAATGCACGCGATAATATAATTCAAGCCAAAGTTAGATCAAAAAATTATTACGACAGAAAAATCAACCCACAAACTTTTAAACCGGGAGATCAAGTATTTTTTTAAAAGGTCCAAAACTGGGTAAATTCGGAGATCAATATACTGGGCCTCACGAAGTTCTAGAATTATTAAATAAAAATAACGTAAAAATTAGAATAAAGAAAAATAGCCGAATTGTACATCTTAATCGCTTATGAATTTCATACATCAAAACTGATAAATAATTACAAGAATTTTCAGATGGACCTCAGAATTGGAAGACGAATCACGATAATAACCTTAACAAAAAAAAAATAATAATAATTGAAATTTTATCAAACAGAGTAATAGGAACAGACTTAATTTAGCAGTCACAGTAAATATATTCCCGACCGTGTAAAATAAGAGAGAACATAAGCGAATGCACCATACTGTATCATTTAATTGTTAGATTAATTAATATATTAAAAACGTGTATATATATATATATATACAGGGTGGTCTATTTTAAAAGAGCCAGTCAAATATCTCGAAAAATATGGAAGATACGAAAGCTACTTATATGTATTTTATTTATTATACGCAGGCTGAAAAAATGCGTTTTGGTTTTTTTAAGTACATTTTTTATAACTTTGGACACAGGTCGCTTGGATTATTTAAGTCTTGGATTAGGTTTAGGAAGATTGTTATTAAGAGCAGATTAAAAGCCGAGTTTTTACGCAAATGTATTAAATTTAACATCACTCCACGATACTTGTCTGCGAAATTGTCGAAGCTTTCGCCAAATTTTACTAGCGTAAAATCCGTTAACGTCTTTAAACTTTGTAAACTCCGATTTAGCAAGAAGCTGTTGCAGATAGAACTTTCAGACACTTTTTCGTATATTAGATCAACTCACACTCAGATATGTAAGATTTCTCAATCATTATATCACGACATTCCGATGGATATCTGCAATTCGTTTTTTACTAGACAACATAGATCATTATATTCCTTTTATATTAACCAACATGATAAACTCAACAAAAAATTTAGTCGCCTGTTGTTTGAGCATAATTTGGAAACAAAAGATTATAGATCCGTCCGATATTTTTACTGTTCTCCTCCCCGGACTGCCTCGGAACATCGCAGTTTTTCGTTTGATCCACCTAATGATAGGGATGATCTCCGGGTCTTAGAAATTAATGTTGATCCTCTTTCCTTTACGGACAGATCGCTTCTTCCATTGCCACTCAATGATAAGTGGTTTAAAAATTTGTCTTTGACCCCTATTCCTGAGGATGTTCAGGGCTTATTACAACTAGGTGAAAATTTCAGTCTTCCTTTCTCCAACAAAGGTAAGCTAACCACGGAATTTATAAAAAATATCGAATACAATCTTATGAAATTTCCTCCTGCAACACAAATAACTATTCGTAATCGTTCCATAAACATCATCAACAACCTATCTCTTTATTCCTACTCGAAGTGCGAGTTTAACATATATATCAAACAACTTGTTTCTACTTGTAAGCTTTTCTTTAAACAGCACGATAACTTAATTGTAATTCGTGCTGATAAGGGAAATATCACTGTTGTACTTGATAAACAAGAATATTTCCATAAGATTGAGGAGTTACTCATGGATACTAACACCTATAATATAATAAAAAAAGACCCAACCAAAAATCTCACTTCTAGTTTACGCGACTTACTGTCAAGATGGAGAGATTCAGAATTTATTTCTCCTTTGACATACAGATCACTATATTGTAGTGACGGCATTTTACCAAAAGCATACGGACTTCCTAAGGTCCACAAACCTGGTTGTCCGTTCCGCATAATTATTTCATCGGTCAATAGCCCACTATATTTTTTAGCTTCTTTTTTACATCGCATTATGTTTAAATATTTTCCTAAGGCCCACAGCCACGTTATTAATAGTTTTGATTTGGTCAAAAAACTTTCTGACATTAACATTGACAACAATTTTTTATTAGTATCGTTGGATGTAATTTCATTATTCACCAACGTTTCAATTGAGATGGCAATCCACAGTGTCTCAACAAGATGGGAACATATTTCCGGGAATTGTAATATTCCTAAATCGGAATTTCTTATTGCAGTCAGAATGATTTTAGACTCTACTTTTTTTACATTCAATGGGATTTTTTATAAACAAACTTTCGATACGCCCATGGGCTCTCCTCTTTCTCCTATTATTGCCGACATCGTGCTACAAGATTTAGAAACACGAGCCCTTGAATCTCTTAAGTTTACTCCCCCGTTTTATGTCAGATATGTCGACGATGTCGCTCTTGCGGTTCTCGCTTCCTCTCTTAACCACACCCTACAGACTTTTAATGCTTTCCATCCGAGATTACAGTTTACTGTTGAGATTGGAGAGAAGAATAGACTGAATTTTTTGGACATCACCATGATCGTTGAGGGTGACTGCTTGATTTTCGATTATACCGTAAGCCTACGTTTTCCGGTAGATATTTGCATTTCCGGTCTAACCATCCCCTCTGTCAAAAAAGGGGCACCATAATTGGTCTTATTGACAGGGTCTTTTTGTTATCACACCCTTGCTTTCATCAAAACAATTTTAAATTGATCATCGAAATATTGTTGGATAACGGCTATCCAATAAATTTTATTTTCCGCGTTTTACATGAACGTCTGAAACATCTACTTCACAGGACTAGTTATAATTCGGGAAATACTACACGAGAAAAAGAAAATGCTTCATTTTTTACAATTCCGTATGTTCCTGTGATATCTGATCAATCTAAAAAAATCACGGGTGATTTAAACGTTAGGCTATCTTATCAGAGTCTCAATAAATTGAATTCTCTGATTAAAGTACATAAAGACCCTTGTCCTTTGATGGCCCGTCAAAATGCCATATACAAAATTGACTGTAATGATTGCGATGCCTCTTATGTTGGTCAGACAAAACGACAATTGAATACACGTATTACAGAGCATAAAAATCATATCAGGAGAAATACGAGCAACCACTCAGTGATTACCGAACATAGAATAAATTTCAATCATAATTTTGATTGCGATGGGGTCAGAATCTTAGACACCGAACCTCAATTACGCAGGCGATTAATTTCTGAAATTCTTTACATAAAAAGGCAGAAGAACGGCTTGAATTTGCAGATGGACACGGAAACTCTTCCTGATATATATCTTACGGTGCTTGATAAGCTTCCCAGAATTTGATTTTGGCTTTTATTTAATGTAATGACATAATTTAATGACAAATTCTTGGTTATTATATTAATTTTATATTTTTAACGTATTCCCTTTATTTTTATTTGCGTGATTGTTTACCATTCTTACATTTATGTTTTTTGTATCTTGTTGTTTTACTTATCATTTTTTACTTTGACTTTATTATTCCGACTTTTATTATTATGACATACATTGTTTGTTAATTTTCTTTTTATTATTGTTATGACAGTTATTATTTTTTGATCAGTTTCTTGTCACCGTATTATGTTTGATCGTTGTCATTTCGCAGCCGAATAGCTAGTGAGTTAGTCTTACTTTTTATTAATCTTAACTTTATTAGTATACCATCACCCAATATGTGGAACGTGAATTTTGGCCGTGAGTTTCAACTTTGTGCTTTTGTATTATTTAAATTTGTGGGAGTCTCTCACATCTTCCTACGCAATTAACAGGCCCAGTATGGATAGACTTGAGAATTTTTAATCCGAATTTTTAAGCCACCTTCACTACTACACGAAGGATTCATCATTGTGGAATGCGAAGATGACGAGAGATTTTGAGCTCTTACTTTCTTTTTAAGTCCGTTTATATCATGTTGCGTTAAGTTGCGTCGGTTTAATTAATTTCTTTGCGCTGAAGATGACCCAAATAAAGGGTCGAAACGTACGTCATTTGAATTTATATTAATCTATATTAATTTATATTAATTATTAACATTGTGCGCACTATTTACCGCGCGTGTTAAAATGGACCACTCTATATCAAGAGACACGGTAGTGTCTCACGCCAAGTCATGCGCAGCAACAGTGAAGCACCCCGTGTATCTTTACGCGAGTCGGCTAGTTGAAGGGTATCTTAGTTCATCAAACCTCAATAACGGCTGAACCGATTGATGTTTTAATAAGCTTAATCGAAAGCTTGAGTTTGTTTTATATTCTGAAAATATTTTTACTTTTCCTCTACGTATCCTATAAATGAAGATATTATAATCCAAAGTCTCAATGTATAACATTTTTACTAAGAAACGTCTCCGTCGTCACCGCCGCCCAAGCGCCCAATGCGCATGTGTACAAGAAGTTGTACGGTTCGAGCATTCGACATAAGATTGCGCTAGCGGCGCTTCTACTGCTTGCATCCATATCAGCTTTTGACAGATATAGGTTAATAGATTTGCAATGCAATAGTGCAATGTTATATAGCGTAGCACGCTTTCATTTATAAAAAAGTGAAGCAACAAAATTCTTCGTAATACTCGTGGTTAGTTGGATCAGGTAATGAATACACACACATACACACACACACACACATATCTGATAGTAAATGTATATAGAATAGGATATAAACATCCTGTCATTAATGTATAGAATATTTTCATATCTTATTTATAGAGAAACATAAAATATTGCGAAAGTAATTTATGCTATGTGTAAAAACAAAACATCGCATCGCATTAAAAAATATTCTATATTTATGATAAGAAAGAGATATATGTATTTTATAGTATGTTTATTATAAGATATATGTGTGTTTGTATTCTATATCTGATTCAACTATCCACAAGTATCACAAAGAATTTTGCAGCTTCACCTTTTTATAAATGAAAGAGTGCTACGCTATATAATATTGCAGTCTGGAAAATTAACTTATACCTGTCAAAAGCCACTATAGATACATGCGAGCAGTTATCGATATAGACATTCATATCAGTTAATATAGATATACACATCAAGAATACATATTTGAGTGCATTTGTCAAACGAGTGTCATATAGTTTGTCATATATTTATTTGTCATGCATTATATGCAGCTACAGATAAATATAAATAACATTGATGAAACGCAGTCTGTAAGGTTAAATTTCTATTTATTTTTAGTAGATGAGTATGGCCGGTTCTAACCCACTTTGCTTTGGAAACTCCCCGTAAGAGTGAGCGAGTGAACATGCGGATAAAATGAGAAAAATAGATATCTGAGGGAGGCATGTCGGGCGGGAGAAAAGAGGGGGTTAAAATAAAAGAAACGTTACATTTATCAGTTTCATATCAATAAAATTAAGATCTTAAATATTTAAAAAAAGAAACATAACATCTATCACTTTTTAATTCATATTTAAATTACAATATAAGTTATAATATAATATAAATTATGTTATAATTATGTTATAATTAATGTATATAAGTTATGTGTGTATTCTATATATTTACGAGACAGATTAGTTAGGAAATTTATAGTATAGCACAAGCGTATAGTATCAATCAAAGAAATGAAAGAGTTGCTTTTATAATTCAGAAATATAATAGATGTATTCATTTAATCTGATTGCAGAAATAAGATAATATATAACACACAGTAAAAAAAATGATATAATTGCTAAAAAATATATTTGGCTGCCCACCGGAATTGCTTGCGAGTGAAAAAAATTTTTAATTCAAAAGACAAATTTAAGTATAAAATAACTTTTCAATTAGAGAAAAACTTGACGCTGCTAAATTGAATATATGTTAATCTAATTAACGTGTTATTTATATTTTGAATTTAACAGCGTCAAGTTTTTCTCTAATTGAAAAGTTATTTTATACTTAAATTTGTCTTTTGAATTAAAAATTTTTTTCACTCGCAAGCAATTCCGGTGGGCAGCCAAATATAACAAGTACATGAAAAAAAAGTTTTCTCAGAGGTAATTTTTTATAATTTTATTTCAATAATCTGTCACGCACAATGTATCACTTCTGCAAAAAATATAAAATATAATATACAAAAATAAAATAAATAAAAAATATTAAAAATATAATATAATATAATAAAACAAACAAATAAAAAGACTCTAATAATCAACACAAAAACGGGTAGGAAAGGCTAATGAGAGATACAGAAAAGATACAGAAAACAGAATGCAAACAATGATCTTCACAAAATTTTCTTTAAAATTGTTAAACTTATTCCCTTTAATAAATAAAAAAAATTTTTTTAAGATAACTGCTCGCCCCTCTTTTCAGCGTTTTGGGTCTTTAGACCGTTGACCTACCTATTATTATTTTATAACAAAAAAATATAATATAATATAAATATAATATATGATATATACAATATGTACTATAATAAAAAAAAATAAATACTAAAAAGTAGAAATTTT